GCTGGGAAATGTAGTGTCTTCGCAGCTCTGCTGCGCGGCGCACAGGGCTATAGGACTACAGCTCCCAGCGTGCATCTGGCGCAGGGGCGGGGCCCAGTTCTGTGGAAGCGGAGGCCGCCGGCTCCGAGTCAGCTCGGCTCCACGTTGGGAAGTCTGCGGAGCGTTGTGAAGCCGGTGGCTAGGACTGAGAGTTAAAAGGATGACCGCCGCCACGTGCAGCTGTCCTCCCATCTGCCTACCTGTGCCTCTTCAGAGAGACGAGTAACCCCGACTACACGCTTTCCTAAACTTCAGTGGGAACAGGCTTTCTATTAACTCAAAGTAAACGCAACCTTGGGATCATACGGACTTGAGTAACCATTTCACACATTCATTAGATCGCCTGATTGATTTCTGAAAGACCTAAGAGGCGACCTGAGTCCTCCAGAACAGATTGGTATCCAGTCTTTGGGAGAGGGACTTTTAAGGCAGGGACGCTGGTGAACGTTGGGAACCTCTTGAATTTTAACTCTGCTTTGGTTGGAAAGCTTATCACAGCATTTAGGGCTGTATTATTCCTTAATTCTTGCGATTCTTGCTGCATATCTGATCTAGAAAATGGAAACTTGAAACACTTGCTTCCAAGTAGCCTCTTCATTGGATGTCACTAAATTCTTTATGCTTCCAGGGACAGTTCTTTTGATTCCAGGATAATATCAGGGTATACACATCTAGGAATATGTAATAGTACTCTTATTTCCTTGAAATTAAGGTAGTGAAAGGAACAGGACATAAAATATATTGCTGATTTGTAAAAGATAAAATGCAAGCAAGACCTTTCCTATTAAACGTTTCTGTGCAGTTTTTTCCCCTATACTGTATGTATAAATACAAAAATGGGAAACTTGAATTGTCCATTTACCTTGTGGAGGTTGATCAGTTGAGAGATGTGTTGGCCTGTGTTGCATGTTCCAGTGAATCCTGAGGTCCAGTAGTGAGCAACTGTCATGACACTTTACTCGAAAAAAGCTAGTGCTACTCTCAGTAAAATAAGACCCTGTTTACATTAAACATCCCAATAGGTTTCTTTCTTGATTCCGGAATGTGGGTTACTATCAAAAGAACTGAAAAGCCTGGTCATGGACATGGGACCCTATTACTTTGTGAAGAACCTACCCCTTCATGAGTTAATTACATGTGAATTCATCAGCACCTTTGTGAAGAAAGGTAAGAAAAACCACACAATGCCTGTGAACCCAGCAGGATGAGGAAATACTGGGATGCCACAGCAGAATACTGGGGTATTTCTCATTTTTAAATGGCCTGTGGGGATAGTCCCTGTGGTCGGGAGCATGTACCACTCTCCCATCCCTTGGCATTCTCACCCCGCTGTTTCCTGTATCCTGTGTAGTTGTTGGTTTCTGATGACACCTGTCCCTAAGTCTTGGATGAGGATGTTGTCATTTAAGGATATGCATCATCTGAAAGCAGTATTACTAGAGAGAGGGCCTGCGGTCTGTGTGAAGATGCACTGCTGCTGGTGGTGTTGCTGCAGACCCTGCTCTCAGCCCTTCCCACAGTAGGGAGCCTAATCTCCTGTGTGAGACACTTGGTCTCCAGAAGCAGCCACAGCTGCTGCTCACAGGGCCAGATGCTGCTTCTGGTTTAGTGTCATCATCCTTGATTTTGTGTCCCTGACCCTCCTCTGCTTGACACATTCCCACCTGTGTCTGCTGTATTGATTGGTTTGTTCCAGTTGTTTCCTAGGAGCAGTTTGTTGGAAGTTGTATTTGAAAGTGTCCATAGGGTTTCCACGCTCACCTCATAAGTACCTGGACCTCTTCTTGTAGCACCACGGTTGTCTTCTTCAATAGACATGGGAAAAATTCTAGTTACTCATTGCACCCCTCATTCTGAGGCTCCTAGGGCTGCTTATGAAACTAAACATCTTTTGTTTGTTTAGGTCTTTTGTCTTATTTATTTATTTATTTATTTGCGGAACCGGAGATTGAACTCAGGCCCTTGCACTTGCCAGGGAAGTGCTTATTCTACTGAGCCATCTCCCCAGCCTGTCTAATTGTTTTTTAGTTGAGGTTTATTTTTTGGTTTTGGTGCTAAGGACCAAACCCAGAGCTTCCAGCTTTCTAGGTGGGCATTCTACCACTGACCTAAGTCCCCAGCCCTGAAATTAAACATCTTTATTTCCATGAACATTTTTGTCATCTACTTTGAAGTCTGGTAATATTTTGGTAAGGGCATGGATAGGTTTTGTAGCAGGCACTTGTAATCATCTTACCAGATTTAACCCTTGTAAAAGCTGTGAGGTAGGCCTGCGAGCCCCATTTAGCAAATGAGGAAAGGTTGAGTGGCTTGAGTATTAACTAGTCGAGTCTTCGGTGATATTAACCTACAACTCTGCTGTAAGTGTATACACATTCCTGGTGCTCTGTTTTTCCTTTCTGCCATCGTCCTGAAGGTAGATGTTCCATTCTGAGGCCGGTTTCTGCCTGGTGATAGTAAACTGGCACAAACAGGGCTTTCCTAGTGGAGGGAGCTTCACAGGCCTTCTGCATGCATCAGCTTAAGCCTAGCATGTGTTAGGTTTACCGAGTGAGCAAGAGCCTAGGGGGTACTGTTAGCTCCTTGGAAGTTTGGTTTCAGGTGAAAACAATGCACTAACATTTGTGTGATTTTTTTTTTTTTTTTTTT